AATATCCACTTTGGATATTAAAGATCTATCAAACGCAACGCCAACCGCTCTGCCAAGCAGAATCTGCTGAAGCTGAAAACGGTCAATGGCGGAAGATATCACAAAATCTCAAGACAAGACTTGGTTTAGGAATTATTGTAATTTGAATTGTATTTGTTTAAGAGTTTTTGTTAACAAGCTGTATATTATGAGAAACTAAAAGAAAGTTACAAAATTAGTTCTCAGTACAGCGACCGGAACTCTTAAACACTTGTTTGTCATCATCAAAAAGGGGGAAATTGTTAGGAAAAATATTATAGATTTTGATGATGATGTATTTAGAATGTAATAGGGACTTTAGGTCTTCCCAAATATTCAATGGAATTTTTCCTTTTAGAAATATTGTTAAAACAAAGTTCTTGAGATTTCGAATAAAGTTGTGATACTCCCTCCGTCCCCCTAAGATGTTCTCATTTTGACTTTTGGTAGGTTTTAAGGAGAGTTGAAAAAAAGTGAAAGTTTACCATAATATCCTTAATGAAATATGGGTGGAGTGTATTAAATGAGGTCGGTGAGGTGTAATAAATAAACTAAATGGGGGTAGTTATGGTATTTTAATTGTTAAAAAATGAAATGAGAAGATCTATTGTGGACAAAGAAAAAGGGCTATTGAGAAGATCTATGGGGGACGGAGGGAGTATTTCTTTAAGCGATTTGATGCCTGAAGATTTAATCAAATTCAGTAATTTGGAAATTGGATATCTTGATCGGAAATGTCAGAGACAAGTAAGGATTTCTCAAAGCAGACGAAAATCCTCCTATCCAGAAGACTACATAAGAACCGGATGTCTCGCTACAACCCGCTGAAGGCTAAGTCGGAAGACTAGCGCGGATTTCTTTCTCACCCGGAAGACTGAGTATGACTCTTCCGGATTTGTCAGCCAAGAACCGGATGCCTCAAAGAAGACTGGAATTCTCAAAAAGCGGACAAGTGAGAAAAGACTTATAAAATTATCTAAGTCTTGAATGAAGAAATTCTACCCGTTGGTAAGGAAAAATCAATCTCTTGATTTTCAACGGCTAGACTAAAGATAATTATGCTGATTCAATAACAATTGACTCGAAGACAAAGTCTGGGCCTCTAAAAATTGAAGAGCCTGTCCAGAATTCCTAAACAAGCACTAGAAGACAAACAGAGTAAAGTGCTACAGTCTAGAATTCTTGAACAACAGCTAGAAGACGGATTCTGTGGAAAAAGGAATCCCTCCTTTAACAATTGGGTATGTCCAAACACTCATTCCAATGAGAAATCTTCAAATCACAATCTTCATTCAAAATTGAAGCCAACAAATGCAACGGATAGTCTATTTTGATTCAACGGATAGATTATCCAATCCAGCTATAAATAGCATCCTTGGAAGACTGGAGAAAACAACAACAACAACAACAACGACAACAATAAGAAAAACAACCACAACAAAGCTACCTCATTCACAGTTAGCCCAAAAAGCTTGATAAAGAGAGATTTCTAAACTCCTTATCCAGAAGGAAACTTCTCCTCCTTCCAAAGAGCTATAGTGTAAATACTTGAAGGTTTCCTTGCCTCAAGTACCACACCACGTTGAAGGATACAACTTTTGATCAAACTTATTGATTGAAAGGGGGTAGGTCAACTTTCTTACAAGTTGGTCTTGCAAGTCCTATTGTTCGGACCTTGCAGTTGTTGAAGAAGCGTGACCTTCGAAAGAACAATAAAGCCAGCACGAGTGCAGTAGCAACATTGGTTTTGCAAGATATACCGTGCAGAAATTCACACAAGTGTAATTGTTGGTTTATTATTCAACAACCAACTACATAGTGGATTTTGAGGACGTAGAAGGATTACCCCACCTTCGAACCTCGTTAAAGTTTGCGTGTCTCTCTCTTTTATCTTTATTCTTACTTGCAATTATATTAACTGTGAAAACTAACTCATCCATATTGATTACTGCTCACTCTACCCACCAACTTCCGTACACAATCTAAAGTTCACAAGAACTCTAGATTAACATTCATTTTCACGTTTTCAAAAGAAACGAAAAAGTTTTAAATTTGTAACAAAGTCTATTCACCCCCCTCTAGACTTTGTACCTCACCACTTTGGGACCACCAATAACACTTTTTGCCTATTAACCTATCCATTACATCTATTTTTACCAATCACATCAAAGAACATTTTTAGAAAATCAACACCAAAATATACTTTCTTTAAATATTTTAAAAGTCAAAAGAGAAACGTTTTGTACGACGGAGGGAGTACAATACAATAGTAAATGTAGTGAGTTATAAAAATAAAAGTTCCATTTTAGAGAAAATATTGTTAGATCATTTTCACAATTATTGTAATGTTGTTTTGCAAAAAATATTTATATAGAATTTTCAAAAAATATTCACAAGTTTTGTAGTGCATATTTTTAAGAAATAATAATAATATAGTATCAAAAAACAATTTGAAGTGCCGCTCAAGAAAAATAATTACTACAACTTAAAATTTAATGAGTTATGAAGTAAATAAATTAGATTTATTGTGTAAAATAATTTATTTTTAAATTATTACCAAATTATCGATTATTGAAAAAATAACTAGTTTTACTCTAAAAAACACTTAAATTTGGTATTATTTTTCCAAAAAAAAAAATTAAAAATACAATTAAATTTAAAGTTAGAAATTAAAAAATGAAAAAACGAAAATTTACCTAAAATAATCCAACTTTTCACTTATTTGCAAAAAAGAGGCATTTTTCAAAAATTATGTTAAGTGATCGTTAATTTTTTATCAACGAAAACTGGTATTATTTTTAGAGACAGTGAGAAATGGGATTATTTTTGAAAGAGCACGGAAATGTAAAGTTATTTGAGATAATGTTTAATTTAAAATAATGATTTAATTAGTGATATATGAGAATGGTTGGCTTTCAATATACATATAAATTCCTTATATCGATATCCTGTAAAATTTCAGAGATATCAACAATCTTAGTTTGGAGAATTTATGATGTCTCGAGATATCAAATTCAAGTTTATTTTATGTTTCATCAAAATCTAATGTTTTTATATCACCAGCTATCGGCACTAATTTTTTTTGCCCACCAAATACCCCTCTGTCCGAAAATTATCTTTCTATTAACAATTAGCTAGATCAAATTTTATTCACTTTATTGACCTATTTTCTTTGCGTATTTGATAAATGAATATAGTCTTTGATGGATTAGGGATTTTTCCTAATCCAATATTATTTGAACAGTGCAAGAAAGCCCAATTTTATATGGCCCAAGATATATATCAGATAAATTATTCAAGACAGAACCAGAGGTATATGGACAGAAGAATATATTTGAGGTGATATAAAAATATTCTATGGAGCCCATATACAAAACATGTGCACATGGAGGTGACATGGCCACTTCATGGCATTGTTGGGGATGCATGCATGTACTCCCCTTTAAATACAAGGCTACGCAGGACGGAAAGGGGGAGGCCAAGGCTAGATACCTACAAGTTCCTACTACTATATTCTTCATTCTTCTTCTTTTAGCTTGGAGCTCCATTAATGACTCCAAGTTCCTACAATGATGTATATGTAAACTCCCCCGAGGTTAATAAAAGTTTCTCCCCCTTTGGCATGGCACCGCCTAAAAAGGCCCGTGGTTTTCTCCCGATTTGGGTTTCCACGTATAAATACTTTCTCTCCGCTTTATTTATTTACTTAATTTCCGGATTTCGCTATTCGGTGCGGTGCCGACCCGGTACCGATTTCATCGGGTCGACGCCCCAAAAAAGCGATTTCCATCAGTCTTATTAGGGAGTTATTACATCTAATTTTGTAGATCTTTTGATGTGATTTTCAAATATGTAACTTTCATTTTTTTAATTTTTCGTTATTTTTCATATAAATTGATTAATAACTTCAGTCAAATATCGTAACGGGCAACAAAAAGATAATTTGACATTAGTTTTAGGTAGGGGTGGACACGGTACGGTTCTGGGCCGGTTCCGGTACCGCCACCACTAGGTACCGGTACCGTGACTGGACCTGGTGATACCGGTTCCGGTACCCGGACCGGCGATTCCGGTACCGGACCGGCCGGTTTCGGCCACCCCCAATTTTTTTTTTTGCTTTTTTTAAAATATTTAAAGTGTAAAATTGTAAATTTGCAATTGTTAAAGGAAAGATTGAAATAAAAAATCTAAAAATTTAGTTGTTATTTAAATATTGTAAAATGAGTAATACACGAACTGAATAACAACTACATTTAATATCCTGACGGTTCAAAAAAAACGACGAGGTAAAGAACCGTAAAGAAACCCTCGAAGGAGCTTATATACCGCTCAGTTAAAAAAACTAATTACATATTTAAATTAACATAAAAAAAAGTTTATAACTTATTCCTCAGAACTCGGACTTCCATTTGTGGTTGCATTCATGTAATGCTCCGAATTGAATTCGTACCCTAACTCTTGAGCTCGACGTCTTGCCAAGAGCCAATCTTGGTTGCAAATAAGTGTTTCAAGAGATTCAGCGTTAAGACAACTTCGAAAGTCGGTTAGAATGTTGCCGCCAGCATTGAATTCTCGTTCCACAGCTACGGTTGATACCGGGACAGACAACACTTGTTTTGCTAGCTTTCCAAGACATGGGAACATGTGTTCGTTCCGCTTCCACCATCCGAGGACGTCAAACTCCACGTCGTCCTCGTCGTCCTCGCATGGCACCCCTTGGTACATAGCAAGTTCGTTGTGCGAGCTTACTCTTGTACCACTTGAACTCGTCGAAGGCTGAGCACGCTTCCCTTTCTTTGCAAGAAGCCCACCGACTATTCCTTTAAAACCTTTTTTTGATTTGGGGGGCGGAGGAGGTGTTGTTTCTTCTGGTACAGTACCGTATAACCCTTGATATTCCTTAAACAAATCTTCAAAAAGATTTATAGCATTATCTCTTTCATTTTTCCACTATATTAAATGGCTATAGGCCTATAGTAATAACTATTTTCATCTAAAAATAAGTGTAGTAATAGTCAATTAGAATTTTAAAATTTTCAATCTTAAAGCGTGGATCACAAATAATACCTATTTTATAAATATCGGGAATGTACAAATAATAAGCACACCATTTATCCCTCATAGGAGAGACATAAGGGTACAAATCTAGATCAGCCAAACTCTCACGAAAACATGTTGCGATTGTAACGCACTCTTTAAAAAATATATTTGTAGTTGGTTGGTAAACATGCGAAAAAGTAAGAGTTGCGTTATTAAAACTTCTAATACGGCATTCAATTTTTCAACAATAACAAAACATTTTTCTTGTCGTCCCTTCTTTTTCGCCGCGTATTTGGCATCCTCCACGGGATGTCTCGACCTTAGGTGTTTTTCCGGACCGCCATAACCGCCGGAAACTCCCATTTTAATGGCAGTCCCACAATGTTTACAAGTTCCATAAACTATGCCATCTTTTGTTTCTTTTTCAAAATGATAAACAAATAAATCTGATTTTAATTTTTTTTACCTTTGTCTGGACCTCGAGAGGTCTCGGGCTCACCTGCCTCCACGTCGACGTCGTTGCTGTGCGGTGTAGGCTCCTCGTCCCCGTCCAAATTATCCAGTCCTGCTTCATCAACATCTTCGAATAGACTATCAAGAGTGGGGAGATTCGCGTCCCCTCTACCAGAATAAATCTGGTCGAATTCTTCATCCGTCATACCATCCTCGATGAATTGATCGGGGATAGTAGGAAAGGAAGAGACGGAGTGTCTTCCTCGAGAACCGCGTGAGGTCGAACCGTCGGAGGTGGCTTTAGCTTTGCCTTTCCTCAAACTTCGGTTCACGGCGCCCATATCCACAGACCTTCTACCGGACTCTCTCAACATTTTAATATATATATTTTTTGATATAAAAAAAATAATATATTAAATTTCGAAAATTTAAAAAAAAATTAAAAATTATATATATATATTAGATTTTCAAAAATTTCGAAAATAATAAATGTTTTAAAAAATATAATTTATTTAAAAAAATAAATATATATTTAAATTATTTAAAAAATATATTTAAAAATTAATTATATATTAAATTTTGAAAATTTTGAAAAAAATTCAAAATTTTATATATTAAAATTTCAAAAATTTCAAAATTTTAATGTATAAAAATTTTATATTATTATATGAATATTAAATGTATAAAAATTAAAAAGAGATAATACGATTGAGAGATTGATAGATTGAGAGAATGAGAGAATGAGAGATGAATTGAGATTTGAGAGATTGAGTGATTTTTTAGGAAAAAAATGTTAGATTTTATAGTTTTTTCCCCCCCACCCCCTCCCCTCCCCCCTTCGGCCCTTCCCCTCCCCCACCTCAACGGCTAAATAGCCGTTTGAGGTGTGCCCCCCCACTAATTTTTTTCTTTTGCTGTTTTGCAGGTTGCAGACTTGCAGTGGGCCGACGAAGTGCAGAGGACCGTTGGGAGCAAAAGTCCAAAAAAAAAATTATTAACTGGTGCCAGAATCGGACCGGTACCGAAATGTTGGGATTGATTAATTAAAAAGAAAAAAAGGAATATGCATGCATACACACTAATGCATGTGAAGTGGACCCATGCATGTGAAGTGGAGTTGTCTCCTTCCCTTGGTTTTTTGGTGGTGTACGAAAATAATGGGAATATGGGATGGAGATGTTTTTTTTGTTGGCCTTCACCTCTTATAAGAGGAATCTTTTTCTTTATATTTGTGTGTGGGTTTACACACGGCCAAGAGAGAAGAAAAGAGGGAAAGGGTGTGAAGAGAGAGGTGCTACACAAGATATCACCAATATTGTGTGAGTGAGCTTAGGGAGTAACTGGTTTTAGTTACTCGGAAAAATACATCCGGGCATAGGGTGTGAAAAAGTCTGTTTATAAGTGTCTAGTATTTAGCACTTGTAAACAGGGAGAGTTTTTTGTGTATCATTCTGAAATAGTGAATATATCATTTTTCTCTCATATATTCTTCTTGTGTTTGTTCTCTCATTTTTCTGGTGTTCTCAATATTTTTCGGTATCTTACGCGCTTAAAATCCCAACACGAAAAAATGGGTACTGGAACCGGTACCGAAGTGGGCGGTACCAGTACCGGTTCCCGGAACCGGTGACACGTCGGCGACGGCGGTGACGGTGGCGGGTACCGGCAGTACCGTTGCCGGTCACGGTACCGTGTCCACCCCTAGTTTTAGGCCTTGTCTCTTTAATTTATTTTTATTAGAATTAGTTAAATTCAGATTAGATTAGACCAAAATAGATTAGAACATACTCCGTATTAGATTAAATATTTAAATTAAATCAAATCAGATCAGATTTTCTCCACCACATCACACTGGTTGAGATAGGTGAAGAATAGGCCCTAATCAAACTCAACACGGGAATAAAATGTACTTCCTCCGTCCTAAAATGTTCTTCCTACTCACTTTTTACCCGGTCAAACTTTAATCACTTTCTTTACCTATTTTTCATTAGGTATTTGATAAAATAATATAGTCTTGTCACCACTTGTTTTGTAGAACTTTTGATGTAGTTTTTAAATATATAAATTTTATTTTTTAATTTTACAACTACAATCAAATAAATTGAATTGAAAATAAATTGGATCAAACCTATTAAAATGAAACATTAAGTCATTCTCATTGTGGTCGGAAGTACGAACCCGCCCGACTCCGTCCATATTTTCCAATAATCTTCTCTTCCGTCTTCCCTGAGACCCTTCTTCCATAGCAGACTCTCTCAGAGCGATCCCCTCTCATAATTCATAGCGTCAGTCTCCATTCTTCAAGACTCAAGCTCTCGCCGTTCATTTCCGGCGCCAATCTCCATTCTTCAAGACTCTTCAAGCTCTCGCAATTCATCTCCCTTTTCTTGTCAGCTTGTGCAACACGTACCTTCCCTCTGTCTAAATCCGCTTCAATCTTTATCCCCCAATCCGCTTCATCTCACTGTAAGTACCATAGTTCGTATAGAGCGATGTATATTTTGAAAATAAGGCTGTTTTTAGCTCTCTCCTTCTAGGGTTTTCTTTCATTTCCTTTCTTAAGCATATCACTCTGTATTTACGGAGTATTATTTATTTATTTATCTCTATCAATGATTTTTAGTGGGCGGATGTTATTTAGTCTTGTTATGTTTTTGTATTCAAATAGTCCAGTGTTTAAAATGGGAAATTTGAAGGTTGAAGGGCGACAGAGATGGAGAATGGAGGGGGAAGTCTAGAGGATAAATTCGCCCGCCTGCGCATGCAGGATCCAGGCAGCACCAGTGGGAACAAGAACGATGGGTTATTCCAGGTCATAAAAGCTGTAGAGGCAGCTGAAATCACTATCAAGCAACAGGTGTTTTTACTCTTGCCAGCCTATCTTTTTTGCATGTATAGACTCATAGCAACTACTACGCATATAAATTCTTTTCTGTTGAGTTTTGTCTGGACTAGATAGTATTTATTGGAGTTTCAAACTTCAGAGAAGGTATACTATGGGCTATGGCTAATGGTCAACTAAGATTTTAATGTTCCAAAAAATAATTCGAATTTTTATAGCTTCATTGAGGTAAGAGCATTAACTGGTAAATATCTGAATTAACGTATGGATAAACTTATGAAGAAGCGATATGGTTGATTTGATATCACTATCACATATCAATCTCCATAATCCCTGTCTCAAAACTTTGACTTCACAGAGAATAAGAATTTTTTTGAAAAGATGTTGAATAGTGAAAAATTAGTGGTTAGAATTTGTTTAGAAGAGAGAAGTGTTTTGGAGCACATTCTTTTCTAAATGGGAAAGAGGAAAAGTGGGAAATCCTTTTTGGGACATCCCGAAATGGAAAGAGGGAAATACTTTTTGGTAAGGAGGGAGTATTTGGAATAGGGATGGCTTTCCTCCATAGCTATGTGGGATTATCACATGGGAAATATCTCAAGGTGGAAAAACCCATAGCTCTATGCCTTGCACCTTTTGTTTTTCAATCATCATTTATCAGGAAACAACTGTGCAATTCAGTAAATTACTCTTATATTTTTTGGCTAAAAATCAAACTTGGAAAAGTTGATGGTTCGTAGTTTTTTTTTTCCTTTTTTACACCAAAGATAAAGTTCACAGACAAGACTTGTCTTTGGTGTACATGTGGTGTACACTTGGTGTACACCAAGCATCACCATTGTTCTTTAATTCACTGTGTTTAACTTGTGCTTCTGATTTATCTCGTGCTTTTGGTTAATCTTGTATCTTCTTTTTACAGGTGGAAGAGAATAATCAATTAAGATTTGAACTTCAAAAAAAGATTCTGGAGCTTGAAACATATGTAAGTGATTTGACTGATTTCAGATGTGCACTCATCATATGGGCTTCATGTTTATTACAACCTTTAATTTTACATGGAGTAACATATTCGTATAGTTGTTCGTTATCTTATGTATATGGTAGGTTAAACCTTGAATTTAACCTGGTGGATTTACTGGTCCAGTTCTAGCAGAAACATCCTCTGTTTTCTACAAGGGAAAGCTCCAAACAGCTTGACCCATAGGACTTGGGAGTTGGGATTATATTGGTTTTTTATTGTAAACTGGACAAATTTGGAGAAAAATGGTATATTTTCTCATTAGTTGAGTGAGTAATACAATGAGCTGTAGAGGATCAAACTCTTCTTAGTCTTTTTGCTCTGTCTTGGTTCTTATAAAATGCTTCATCACTGCGTTATCTTTAGAACTGCACCTCTCTCAAACTTTATTTAGTAGACTAAGGGGCTGTTTGGCAACTTCTGAATAGGTAAGTGCTGAACCAGTAAGAGGTGTGAACCATTAAGTGCTGAACCAGTAAGAGGTCTGAACCATTAAGAGCTAGTATATTGCTTAACTATTCAGAGGCAAATGTCTGATCAATTCAGATAAGAAGTCTTAACCATTCAGACTCTGTTTAATACTTAACCATTCAGAGGCAAATCTCTTAACCATTCAGACTTCTGAACCATTAAGAGGCTGAGACAAACAGTCTGAACCATTAAGTGCTGAACCATTCAGAGGCAAATCTCTTAACCATTCAGACTTCTGAACCATTAAGAGGCTGAGACAAACAGTCTGAACCATCTGAACCATTAAGTGCTGAACCATTCAGACATCTGAACCATTAAGAGACTGAAACAAACAGCCCCTAACTTCACTAACCGATGTAATCTAACATCGACTAACTTCACGAACAATATTGGTGTTACTAATGTCACACCCCTAAAGTCGGGAAAAATGTATTTATCATACCCAACTTGTTACAATGATAAATTATCCCAATTGGGTATGAGTCTGCAATCAAGAATGTATTATAGTGATTAGAATCATAATATCTTATTTCACAATTAGCTAGAGTATACTTTCTCTAAAGTGTGAAACTCTAGTAAATTCTATCCAGTTAAGCCAGAGATCAACACCAAAGGTTACCCAACGTATAAATTATACACACACACACACATATATATATATGTGTGTGTGTGTGTGTGTATGAACTTGTGTCTACAGTACAAAAATGTGTACACACTCCTTCCGTCTAGAAATAAACTTGACACTTTGAGTTTAAGAGAAAGGGTTAAAAATGGATGGAATTTGTTTAGAGGAAGAAAAATTGTGAGCCACATATTCCATCCCTTAAAAGGAAATGGGTGAATTGTGGAGATTATGGATGGAGTATGTATATCTATATGTGTGCGTGTATAAGTATATATACATACATGCACACGCATGCCCCACCTCTACCAAGTCTGTCCTCTTGAAGTGGTTCATAGTTGATTAGCTGTATTTTGTCTACAACTCTGCAGTTCATTAACCCGACTAACTTTACAAACGAACATGGACGAACTTTTACTTCTTATAGGATTTTGTGGCGTGAAAAGATGATACTTTGTAATTGTGTTATACAGTTGTAGTTTTGAATAGTTCTGGTTGAACTTTCTATGGTTGTGGCATAAGTGGTTTTTAGGCCTTTAGCATTATGAAATAAGAAATTATAAATAACACACACACACACACACACACACATATATATAAAACAAAAAATTGGGTGGTGAAATTGGAGAGGGTGCGGGGTGCGTAAGGGACAGGACGGTTTTGGGGGTGCATGATTTTTTTGGATTGCTGTAAAATTTTTAGATGAGGATGTACTTATTACTAAAAATCAATTTTAGGGTGGGGTTTGCATGAAAACAATCTTAGCGAGAAAGGTATGTGTTGTAAGGCTCGATATATGAATAATTGTTTATTGTGGAAAAAATTACTGCGGGGTACCCTATATTTTGCGACAAGAACTGGCACGTCCCATTATTTTTTAAAATGTACTCCGGGGTACCTTAAAATATCAAAAAAGTTACTCCGAGGTGACATTCCGTCACTTTCTCCGTCAATTCCCAATTTCTGTTAACTTTTCCTCTTTTCTTCCCCATTTTCGATCTTCTTCTTCTTTCTTTCTTCTTCTTCTTCTTAATATATAATAAGTGCTACTCCACTATTTTTCTTAAAAATTAGAGTGGTAAAACTACTAATTAATTTTAATAATAATAATAATAATAATAATTAATAACATATAAAAATAATAATAGAATAAGAAGAAAAAAGAATTCAAAACAAAAAAAATAGAAGAAGAAAAAAGGGAGGGTGGAGGACTGGAAGAAATCTGAAGGCGCAGGAGGGAGGAGGAGGAGGAGAAGAAGAAGAAGAAGAAAAAGATCAAAAATGGGGAAGAAGGAGGAAAAGTTAACGGAAATTGGGAATTGACGGAGAAAGTGACAGAGTGTCACCTCGGAGTAACTTTTTTGATATTTTAAGGTACCCCGGAGTACATTTTAAAAAATAATGGGACCTGGCAGTTCTTGTCACAAAATATAGGGTACCCCACAGTAATTTTTTCTTTATTGTGTGTGTGCGAGTATACATATGTATGTACTATGTATGTACGTATACACACATACATATCTTCAAACACACCTATATTACTCCCTTTGCCCGAAAAACCCCAAAATCAAACTTCCCTTTCTAAAAAAAGCAACTTTTTTAATTCAAGGGATTATCCTTATACACCCCTCATTCCCTTTACTTCTTCCTTTTTACGCCCCAACCATCTTCGTTCGAATTTGAAAACTTATCCTTGTTGGTGGAGATAATAAATTAGAACAATCAATAGCGATGAACGTAGTGAATAGACTCTGAAATGTTTTAGAAATTCGCCCAAGCCTTCAAGTCCAAGACCTTTAAGCTCTTCACCCATGACAAAATTTCTGCGGGCAATGGCGACTGCTACACTCACCTCAACTCTGCCGAGGGGCGAGGAGGTCAACATGGATCAGAAAAGTGGTTGTCATCAAGCCCAATTCTCATGACCCTACCCAAATTCTATGGGACCAGTTTTTGAGTATCAAGTTCAAGAGAACAAGAGCATGGTTATCAAGTCGACACGTTGTGTCGAGTAGGTGAAAAGGGGACTATGGACTAGTCGACAAATTACAATTGGTATCGATATTTTTAACATTGTATATATTTTCATTGATCAAATTAAGTTCCTAACTCAAACTGCAGCCGACTGTTTGAAAATAAGAGCCTAGAATGTCATTACCCTTAAAATACTAAAATAAGCAAAAAAGACCCAAATATATTAACTAAAATCAGCAAAAAAACAAACTGAACAATTAAGAGACTGAAGAATAATGAAAAATAAAGAGTAGAATATACTTTTATTACTTTAATAGTTCAATGAACCAAATCAAAGAAAATTAAACCAAATTAAGAGTCTGCTTTAGTGATAAAGAATTAAAGATATAAGATCTTACCCATGGATGATAGAGATCATGTGATTCCTGGAAGATGAAGAAGAATCAATTCTAAAAAATTTACTTTGGATCGGCTCGGCTGGAAGAAGTCGATGAAGGAGATGTCGCGATTTGGGAAGGGTTAAATGTTGACAATTCTTTGGATTGTGATTGTGCTGATTGAGCCGATCGAGGGAGGCTATGTTTCATCTAGTAATTTTTAAAATTTAATGTAATTTGGGTCGGGTTGGATCAAATTGGTAGGTTTTCTTCTTCGCGTAGTCTTCACCTATACGCGCCTAGGACACATAGTCTACCCTAGTCGCTAGGCGACCTACACATCACCATCCAGAAAACGCCTGGACGACTAGTAGGCGATTAGTTGGTGCCTAGGTGGCGACTTGACAACACTGAGCATGTTCAGAGCGTTGGAGACCATGGTAAGTGGATTACACAGCAATTAATAGGCTATGCATACAACACTGGGTAGCTGAAATCAGTGGAAATTGCAGTGGTAAAACCATCTGAGTTGCAAAAGCAAGAAAGATGTGGTATCTATTTCAGGGGTATTTCAGCGAAGTCAATAATTTTTTTAACTTTTGTGCCCGGTCAAATTGGGAACATTAATTCGTGATGGAGGGAGTGATTTACATCCTTCCTTACTCCCATTGTATCTTACACTTGGATTGTTTGGGCAACTTACAACAACAAACCAGTATAATCCCAACTGCTTTGGGGTCTAGGGTCAAGATTTACACAACATTACCACTGAAAAAAGACTTGGAAAAACCAAGATGTTGTATCCTTTTGACCCTTGATGCATTCACTTCCAAAAACTATATAGTACTAAGAAGGGAAATTTGATTTGCCATTTTGAATAAAACCATTATTTACTCGAGAGTCGGAACGAAAACATTTTCAATTAGAGCAACCCAATGCACATTAATTTCTAAAGCAACAAAGCAAGTCGTACACGTCTAGGAAACATTCTTTGTGTCCCAATTATCCATGATATATGCATCTAGGTATAAGAGTGGTAACTCTTTGGATGTTGAAGCTCTTGTTGTGCATACTGCATAGATTTTAATGAGTGAACTAAGAAATCTGGATTTAAGTCACAATTGCACATATAGAAAACATCTTTTTTTGCCCCTAAGGCTCTTTTGAGAAGTGCAGTCAGTTCTGGACATAATAATGCCTGTTAGATTTGTTTTGGAAAGAATCCCTTAGGAGCTGATACTTGATATTGCTACGTATGATATGTGCTAGAGGTATAATAAATTTTCACATGTGCACCTATAACATATTTTCTTGGCTTGGGAGAGTTACTTTCGCTGCAACTCCCAAGTGTAACTTTCCAGAACGGAAACGTTAAGCCTTTTATGTTAGAAATATTGCAAGATGGTTTGTTTGACATAAATGGAAGTTCAAGGTATTTGATTCAGGCTCTTTAGAGTTTGGTCGTTTTCCTCTATACTACCCTTGACCAATAAGTGTACTAGTATTAGATTTTAGCTCTC